CCTGGTGGAGCCTGTGGCCTGCGACACCCCAGCCCAACCCTCTCCTGAACGAGGAGAGGAGGGCTGCGCCTAGCCCTTGCTGACCCCAGTGTCCAGGGACTCCCAGCAGCAGGCACAGGCAGCTCTCACGCTCCCTGCCTCGCAGCTGCGGCTGGGCTGGGGTGGGAACTGGACGTCACGAGGACACGAGCTCTGTACTGCCCCAGCCCAACCCTTTCTCCTCTTGAAGCAGCCTAGGTCCCCCTGGGTGGGAGGTAGGGGCAGTCCAAGTGAGTTCTGGGTCCTCTGAGAGTGGAGTGGCCGAGCCCCTCCCCAGGGAAATCAAGGGCAGGCCCCTAGGACTCTGGGCCAGACTCAGCACCTCCCCAAACTGGCCTGCCAGAGGGCCAGGGTGGGGCCCCAAAAGGCGATATTGGGTCACAAATAGCCTCCACTTGCCAGAGACAAAGGTTCATTTGCAGACTCCAGTCTTCCTGCCCCCTTGCCACCACAGTGGTCCACAAAGCCTGCAGGGCCAGGGCCATCCCAGAGAGAAGCCGGACAGAGGGCCAGCAGGAGCCCGAGGGGAGTCTCAGAGAAGGGGGAGAGGGTCACTGAGGACCTGGAAGTGGAAAGGCCTTAAGAGGGGAAGGGAGGGGAGAGAGGAACAAAGGGGCAGTGGAACCCCAGAGGGAGAGGGTGTGTGTTAAAAGGGGGTTGCCTCTCCCTTTGAAATCACTGCTAATCAATAGGTGACCGCAGGGCCAAGCCAAGGGCAGGGACCTTCCGCCAAGGACTGGGGAGGGTGTGAGGAGATCAGAGCCAGTGAGCCCTGGGGAGGCTGCAAGTTGACATCCCAGCTCCTTCCAGCCCTGGCCTTCTGACAACAGCCTTCCCCACACCGCCGGACCGATGCAGGAGCACGCAGGATCCCAGAGTCTAATTTTAGCGTGTGCTCCCTGCCTCCCCTGCTAACAGTGAGCAGAGCCTGGGAGGGTGGGAACGTCCTACCCCTGCCTGGGCCCTGCTCTGACGGAGGTGCTGACAAGCAGGAGGTCACCCCCAAGCCCGAGTCTCTGCTGTCAGAGGCTTTGCTGGGCTGGGCGGGCTCAGAGCCAGCTCCCCATGCTGACGGGGCAGACCCCGAGGCCAGTGAGTGACACAGTTGAGTTAGATTGGGTGGATTTGTAATCCTGCCTCTGGATGACCTCTGACAAAGGCCCTCAACTTCCCTCAGCCTCAGTTTCATCTTTGAAACTGGATAACAATGGCTCTGATCTCAAATGATACACAGCAGGCACTGGCCCTAATGACCCGGAGCTGCCCCATCCCTCTCTCCTCTCCTCGCCCATCTCAGGCCCCAGACTGCCTGGTCCCTCCAGAGCGGGCCTGCCTCTGCACTGAGGGTCAGCGGTGAAGAAAACAGCCCGTCCTGCCAGGAGCCTGACTCAAGAATGACTAATTACTTCCTGGGATCTCAGCGGCCGGACCTTCCAGGAGGGGTTTGAGGTGGGGCAGAGATGGAGCATCAGACCGGAGATTCTCATGGGCAGAATGGGACACTGAGGCCCCAGGAGGGACCCAGCCTGCCAGGGGCAGCCAGACGGGTAGTGGCAGAAGCAGGCATGACCCTGGTCTCCCCACCACGATTTTCAGCCTCACAAAGTCCCACCCCAGCGCTCCTGCACACAGGCACCAGGCCCTGCAGCAGAGACCAAGCCAGCACCCGGGCAGCGAAAGGTTGCCCACTACCACTCCCTTCCCAGCCAGGAGCAACCCCATTTGCAGGTGGCAGATGAGCAAGCCCCTTCCCAGCACTTCCCCAAACACACAAGATGGAAGTCATGCAAAGGATTGGGAGGGAGCAAGGGTCTGGTAAACCCCCACACCCCCTTCCTCCTTGCGTCTCATTAGCAAATCAGCTGGCCCTCCTGCCACAGTACCTTCTGAGCAGTGGGTCAGGGTACCTCCTTCAAGAAAGCTCCAAGGGGAATTTCCAGCACCCCAGATTTCTCAGCAGCTGGCCTGAGGCAGGGGCAGGGCCTCAACACCGTTTGAAGAGTGTCCCCATTGACCATTGGCCTAAAAACCCCGATTCTTACAGAGTGAGGGCAGTCGTGGGGAGAGGTCTTCTCCATCGGCGCCTCCCGTGCTCCCGTGCTCAGGGACCTCCCCAAAGTGCTCACAGACCCCAGAAGACTGCCACCTCTCCTTGCTTGCCGCCTGTCCCCACCCTTACCTCCAGGCATTTGCTGGGGTAATTCCTGGAAGGAGCAGTCCTCACCCCACACACTCCTATCTGTTCTCTGAACCCATTTCACCAGCCCACTAACCCTAAAACAGGCTTAGGGTACAATCAAAAGTAGGTGCTGCTCACACAGAACAGCAGGAAGTAGTGTCTGAGAAGGAGGTCCCCCCTGGAGCCAGCAGTCCTGGGCTCCAGCTCAGGTGTACACATAGCCCTGGGCCAGTGCCGGGACTGCTCCTCAGATACTGAGAACCGAGTTAGGTCCAAGGCAAGTCCTCTGTCTTTAGGCCTCTATCTCTCCTTCAATAAAATGCAGTGGAAACCCTGTAAAACTCAGACATCGTGTGCCAGTGACAGAAATGAGCAGTCAATCACAGCACTGTACCGGCTGAATCCAGCCCAGATGCAGCTCAGAATCCCCACACAGCCAGGCCACTGGATGAAAGTTGGTGCCAGAGATGGGACAACAATTTCTCAGCATCTGAATTTCATAGCTGTGATTTGGGCACTCAGCCTCAGTTTCCTCTTCTGTATAGTTGCCACACCAGCAAAGGGAGCTGATGTATTCCGAATGAGATGCTAAAGGTCCAATTCCAGTGGGGCTTTTTTCTGTCACCATCTGGAGACTGGGAGGGAGCTCCTCCCCCAGACCCATGGGCCCGCCCCTTACAGACCCTAATCAGATAGAATTCCAGAAAAGCAACAACTCAAGGGAACAGATGAACTGCTCTGATCTGCCTTAATCAGGCCTCGGGGCCCTGGCAGTGGGTGAGGCTGGTGGGAAGGGCTGGGAGCTCCTCAGGGCAGAGCCTGGCTTTCTTGCTAAGTCTCAGCAGAGCTCCAGGTCCCCAAGTCCACCAGTGTTGGTGGACATAAGGAGTCTCCCCTGGCAAAGGCTGTGTCCTTGGAAGTGTGAATCCTGGGTCACAGGTGAAGGGTGGCCCACATTTCCAGGTGCTGGGCCTCCCTGCTCCTCCCTGGCACCTCCCTAACCAGCCCCATCTCCTGCTGGCCCTGCAGCCAACTTGCTGTGTGGGTCTGAGCTGCTCTCCTTGAGGTGGACCAGGAGGCCTGGAGGACTGGACTCCTGTGCACTTGGTGCTTTGGGGCTTCAGGTGCTTTTTCTGGAAACGAGGAGACTCCAGCTCAGACGTAGTGGCTGAATCTCAGCAAATCAGCTCCCACTCACCTCCTGCCCTCGCTGGAGACAGCAGCTTACATTCCACAGAGTGCCCTGTTCTTCCTGTTCATGCCACATGGGTGGTGTTCGATCACCTCTGCTGGCCCCACTCTTGCTCCTGACTGCCCAGCAAGGCCAGTTTCCTGCTGACTCTCAAACTGTCAATCCAGCACACAGCACCCTTTGCATGTGTTGTTTCCCTGTCTGAAACTCCTGCCTAGCTTGCCTCTGGGTATTCCTGTTCTTTCCCTGAGTCCCAGCCCAAAGGGCACCTCCTCTGGTAAGGCTCCCTTTCCTCCTTCCCCATGCAGCCAGCCTCAGGCTCCATGGCCACGTCTACCCTCACTGTCTTATAATGAGGAATAAGGGATGGTTTGTGGACAAAGCAGCGGGCAGATGAGTGGGTACCAGCTGGCCACAGTCGGAGGAAGGCAGGGCATCTGGCCCATGCCAAGTCTGCTACAAGTAGCTGAGGAATAACTACGGCCGGCAGCCCTTGGGCAACGATGACACAGCATGCTTATTACAAAATATCTTTTATTGATAAAATAGCTCAGACCTTTAAAAAACATCTTCATATCACAATAAGGAGGCCTCAGGCAACAGAATCATCTACTGAGACCAGTCAGTAGATATCACAAGTCAGCCCCTCCCTCAGGGCCACCTACTTACCCAGCCCTGCCCCAGGGCAGTGCCCTGGCCTCACACGGAAACTGAGGAACAAAATGAGGGACTCCCTTTGGTCCCCTCCATTCTCTCTAACCCAGAAAACACCCCTTGCACCCCTCTCACTCTGGCCATAGGGATGCCAACAGTCCCTGCTGCTTAGCCCACTCCAGTGATGACCCCACTGGCTTACTGTAGAAGTCAGGCACTCCTATGGGGGCTCTGGGAACCATCCTTCACATGCTGCAAATTGTTCTGGGTTCAGGTGTCTGGGGTGGAGGGTTGAGAACCAGGAGGAAGAGGCCCCTGAAGCCCCATCAATGGGGAGAGCCACATGGCTGGGCTGGAGGTGGCCAGCCAACACTCATTTGCACCCATCCGAGGTGGGATCATTGGGGCCCATCTGGGCCTTAGAGCCCTGCCTGGCACTGAGCCATGAGGCTCCCCCAGGTGTCCAGAGGGCCCTTGCTCACCTGCTTCAGCCCAGAATCCCGCCTGGGAGCTCTCTCACCTGGCACATGACATGGCTCTCATGTCATGTCATGGCTCTCATGTCAGACCATTCCCAGGATGTGGGTATTTTTAGCTGTCTTGAGGAAACAATTTGCCTTCTTGATGACAAAAGACTTAACCCCCACAGAAAACGCTCTTGGTGTTGCAAGTGAAATGCCAAGTTGTCATGCAGCATAATAACTCAAACCTTTGTAGGCACAAGACACATTCTCAAAGAAATCCTTTAACTGAAAGAGTGGTTCTGTCTGCCACCCCCCACTTCCAGTTTGGGGTAGGAATTCATCCACCCCAGGCTCAGAACTAAAGTCTATGGAAGACGGGTGGTGGTAAACACAAAGTCGGGTCTTTCATATCACCAAATAATCACATTTGCTGGGTCTCTAGGTTCCCCCACGGAGCTCAAAGCTTTGTGCAATGCCTTTCATCTCCCTGCAGCAGGTAGGCAGCAAGCTATTGTTGCCCTGGATTTTGCAGGGGGTGGCTGCTAGTGAGCGGGAATGTCCTGTTGAGGCAGAGGCCAGGCCTCCAGAGTGGCACCGTGTGGGACTCAGATCACAGCTTCTGCCTTCAAAGGAGCTACAAATCCAAAAGCAGGGGAAGGGGGAGAAGGGCCAGGGACAGTCAGCCTACCAACCCTCACCCGGTGCCCAATGGAAGCCACGGGTCCTCCATGGGAATGCATGGCCATCCTTGTTTCTGCCTCCTCCTCGGCCTCCCGGGAGAATGGAAGGCTGGCTTCCTGCTCTTAACTGAGGAAGATGAAAAAGAAACAAAACACCACAAGCAAGTGGCCTGCCAGGGACCACAAGGCCCTCGAGGAAGTTTACAGGGTTCTGGGGTTCCAGAAGGCCAGGCTCTATCCAAGTCTGACCTCAGCCGCACTCAGGAGGGCCCCGGCCTCCTCCATCCGCCTGCACTCAGGCAGGGTGGAGATGTCCCCCCACCGCCAAGCCAGCAACAGGCTTAGCACAGACCCTGGGAACAGCACCCCTGCCTCTGCCCCTCCCAGGTGCTGCCTGCACTACCTGGGCAGAAACCGAACCGCCCTGTGCCTAGTTCACATAAAACAGGGCAGGAGGCAGTGTGGCCCTGGCGCTACCTGGCATCAGCTCCACGAGAGCAGCAGCCAGGCGGCTGGCTCACCAGGCCGTCTGGGTCCACTGGCGGCAAAGGATCCTTCGGAAGGCACGGCGGAAGTCCTGGTTGAAGATGGTGTAGATGACAGGGTTTAGCAAGCTGTTGCAGTAGCCAATCCAGAAGAAGAAATGGAAAAGGCCTTGTGGCACCTTGCAGTGCTTCGGGCAGATGGCGCCCAGGCTGTAGCTGAAGAAGAAGGGGAACCAGCAGAGCATGAAGGCGCCTATGACCACAGACAGCACGAAGGTGAACCGCTTCTCCCGGGTCAGCTGAGCCCGCCGCCGCCGCCGCCACCACCACTTCCTGCCTGCGGCGTCCATGCCCCTGCCCAGGAGCACCTGACCCCGCAGGGTGGCCAGCACCCGGGAGCCCTGCGGCTGCTGCAGGGATGGGCTGCAAGCTGAGGCAGGGGATACCGGCATGGCCTGAGGTCCACACTCCTCTTCCTCCTCCTCCTCCTCCTCTTCAAATTCCTCCTCCGGAGACGCCCCACAAACACCTTCCTTTGGACCCTGGTCTGCGTGGGGAAGGGCAGGCCAGCTGGATGGCAAGGCTGGGTTTCCAGGGTCTTCAGCGGTCCCTCCCTGCTCCTTCTCCGCAGCGGACTTAGGGTGCCCATTGGCCTCTTCAGAAGCAACCAAATGGGAGGCCAGGGTCGGCAGTTTGGCCGACGCTCCCCCAGGGGCGGGGCAGGGCTGCTTAGATTCACCCTTCCCAGGACCCCTCCTGGCCCTGGGACCTCTGTGGTGGCTACGTCTAGCGATCAGGTAGATGCGCAGGTAGACGAGGATCATGATGAGGCAGGGTGCGAAGAAGGACCCGAAGCTGGAGGCCAGGATGTACCAGGTCTCTTGGTTGAGTTGGCATTGTGGGCGCCCGCGGGGCTGGGGGCCGGGGTCGCCCTTGTAGAGCAGCGGCGGCAGCGAGATGAAGGCTGCGATGAGCCACACGGTGAGGATGATGCACTTGATGCGGCGCGGGGTGCGCTTGGTGTTGTACTCCAGGGCGCGGCTCACCGCCCAGTAGCGGTCCAGGCTGATGGCGCACAGGTGCACGATGGACGAAGTGCAGAAGAGCACGTCGAGTGCCAGGTACACCTCGCACCACGCCTGCCCGAAGTACCAGTAGCCCAGCAGCTCGTTGGCCAGCGAGAACGGGATGATGAGCGTGGCCACCAGGATGTCGGCGGCAGCCAAGGACACCAGGAACAGGTTCTGCGGGGCGCGCAGCGAGCGGCTCGTCAGCACCGCCAGGATGACCAGAGCGTTGCCGAAGATGGTGAAGAGGATGAGGAAAGAGATGACCGCCGCGATGGCCGCGGTGGCCTGCACCGAGTAGGGCTTCTGGTAGTCCATGGCAGAGCTGGCTGGAGGGGGCGTTGTTTGCCCAGCGCAAGCACAGCGGGTGACAGTGTTGGCCCCCCAGCGCGGCCGGAGGAGCGAGGATTCACCAGGGCCAGGCCAGTGGGGCCGGGAGGTTGGGGGGTCCTGGGACTAGGCACTGCTCCCCGACGTCCTCTTCCACCAGCGCCCGCGTCCGTCCCCACAGTCCGCCCGGAGAAGTTTTCCAAGTTGTCCCGCTGCGTCCCCGCCCCGCCGAGGGCTAGGGAGAAACTGCGTCCTACCCCCCGGAGACCACTGGACGTGCTCGGGGCGCGGGGCTCCCACGGGCTGCGGGGCTGTGCGCTGCCGGTCCTCAGAGGAGGCGCGGTGGCGGCTCGCGGGCTCGGCCGGGAGCCGCGGCTGCAAGCAGCTAGCGTCCGCAGGCGAGTGGGGACCCGAGTAGCGGCTGCGGGAGGGAGGAGACTGGAGGCGGGGGAGGAGGCGGGGCAGGTGCGGGGCGGGCCGCAGGCCGTGGCTGGGTGGAGGGGCGCCACAGCCTCCGGGGTGCTGGACTCCGCGTCGGCGCCCGCGCCCCTGCCCCTTCCCCCAGCTTCGAGCGCGGGGGTCCGAAGGGGCCCGCATCTGGGGTCTTTGGAAAGCTGGAGGGATGCTCGCGGGAGTGGCAAGTCGGTGTGCACGGGAGCAGGGATGCTCGCGAGCTTGGCCGCGGGCACCTAGGGACCTCTCCCTTACGGGCTGCGGGGCTGAGGGTGAGGCGGGGAGGCTAGGTCGGTGGGCGCGAGCTGATGACTGCTCCCATCGCCTGGAACACCACGGAGAGGGCGGGTGAGTGTCGGGCGCCAGATAACAATAAGCCCAACGAGCCGCAACAACGCTGGTGCCCGAGAAAGAAGAAGCCTACGGAAGGGTTGGGGACCCCGAAAACTACCCCAAACCCTTCTCCTAAAGCGTCCTCACCCAGACTGGGCTCCGTCAGGCCTGCGAAGCCCAGGGAGGTGCCCGTGGCCGGGTGGCGAGCGCCCCCTGCCGCTGTCTACGGCGCACCGCGCCACCATGGCTCCGCCGCGTCGGGGGTCGCTGAAAACGCTCCAAGCTGGGGAGCAAGCAAGTGCTCAGAGATTTATGGCTTCGGCTGTCCTGCTTCTCCTGCAGCTGCCTCGGTTTCCTCCATGAAGGGCAAAGAGGTAAGCGGAAAACTGCTTTGGACTCCAATCTCAGCAGCATAGGTTTTTTGGGGGGAGTGGGGGCTCTGGGCAAACTCAGCCCCTTGACCTGGAGGAAGAGGATGTCCTCTGGCCCAGAACAAGGACACTTGTTGGGGGTCTCAGGGGCAGCGTGGAGAGGAGCTTCCCTTGCTCCTTGTCCACTCCGGGCCCCTCTGGGGGGGGGCCCTGGGAAGAGGAGTTGGGGTAAAAAGAAATTTCTGACCAAGCACACACTCCACCTACCCCATCCTGGCTTCGAAGAGCTGTGGAGCGCTGCTCTTCCTCAAGCACCCTGCTCCTACCCACCCTCCCTGCGGCCACCGCCCCCAGGGCCACCTGGGCAGCCTCGGGGGTGCCCTTTATGCCGCTTCAGGAGCCCCTGATGCTGTCACTCCAGCCCGGCCTGGAATCTCCAGCGCACGGGGCTGCATGCCACCCTCTGTGTCTGTTTGCCTAGGGCAGTAGGGCTGTGCTGCGGGACCCCCTGAGCCAGCATGCCCCGGACCTTCCTCTCAGCTCCACGAGGAGCAGGTGGTACGCTCTCTTGATGCCCACAGACAATGGCTCATCCCTACCCAGGCTCAGATGGGCGGCCCCCCAGACCAGCAGCCATGTGGTAGAGACATGGGCGTGTGTTCCTCCTTGATCCTGGGCTATCTGCCTACACAGCCCCTCCGTTAGGTGCAAGTGCCCACAGCCAAGTGGGTCTGGTGTTGTCTGGACTGGGCTCCAAGAGGACAGCCAGCCTCTCTTGCCCTATCCAGAGGCAGGTTTCATGGACGCATCCTCCCCATTTGCTGGCCTGGGCAGGGCCTGGCCCTACAGTTGGCAGGGATGGAGAGGTCTCAGTGACCCCTTCCGCGAGGAAGGGCAGAGGGTGACTGTTGGAGTCGGAGGTGCGGCCACTGAAGCAAGTTCCTGCCTGTCCCATGGCTCCTGCCGGGGCTGTGCAGTCTAAGGGCCCTCATGGCCCAAAGGGGCTTGGGAAGGACCACTTCCCGCCCTCTCCAATCATACGCAAGCCAGGAGTCCAGACACTACCACCCGCATCAGCTTTTGTCTCTGGCCTATTTTTTTTTTTATTTATTTTTTTTTTATAAAGCCAGGGACACTGCAGGAACTGAGGCCAGGGCTGCTCTACTCCCTCCCCTGACCCACGCAAGCCCCCCTCAGGGTTCTCACCTGGGTTTTCCTGAAGAGGCTCCAGCTCTACCCAACACCAGGCCCTGATGGGTACCAGTCTCGGTGGAGACAGCCAGGGACAGTCTACAAGCACCCATGAGGCTCAGGCCACCCCATGCTCTGTGTCACCTGCATAAGTCTGGCTTTGGGGGCAGCGGGGCCTTTATATAACTGGATTCCTGCTCCTCTTTGCAGCTCTCCATCTCCCCCACGCACACCTTCCAGTGCCTGTTCCACCCAGTCTTGTTTGAATCAGAGCCTTGGGCCACAGCAGGCTTCCTTCAAGTAGACCTGACTTTCCATTGTCATCCTGTTCCACCAGGCAGGATTCAGGCCCAGACCTACAGCCCGCCAGCAGCAGGAGCTGCCTAGCACAGGGACTGGCCAGGCTTCCTGGGACTTTTCTCCCAAGACCACCCTGTCTGACCCAACCTCACCTCTTCCCACCCCACCAGGCTACGTACCCTGGACATGCCTTGAGCTCCTACATCTCCAGTCCTTTCTAGGCTGTTTGCTCTGCCAGAAACACTCTCCTCACCCTTCCTCCTGTGCTTGGTGGGCCCCCCTCTCTTTAAGGTAGACTCACCTGTCACCATTCTCTCAGGCAGAAAAAGGTACCCTATTGTCCAAGTTCATTAATTCCATGCACACAGCACCTCTGTCGTGCTCAGAGCACTGTACTGAGATGGCGGCCAATGGATATATTGCATCACTCCCCCCATCAGAACAGACATCTCTTCTGTCCCCAATACATGGCTAAGCTTGTTGAATGGTGACGGGCAATGGCACAGATATGAATGGATGACATACACATCAGCCTTTCTTGGATAAGTAGAGTGCCCACATGAAGGTGCCCTCGAGGGATGTCCTTGGAAAGGGGGGATATGGGGGAAAGGTGACCTGGTACCATGTTTCCCAAGGGAGGCAGACATTGTTCAGTCCCAGCTGTGAGAGTGCAGCAAGAGCTGTGCCGTCTTAGCTGGAGGCTCTGAAGCCACTTCTGCAGCCTGAGCGGCGAGACCAGGCCCGGTGCTCCCAGGCCAGAGCTCCAGCCACCTCGGGCCCAGCAGGGTGAGCTCCTGAAGCTCAGCCGTTCAAGTCCCTGGGACTCTTCTCCCCAGCCCACCCTCTGACCCAACCTCACCCCTTCCCAGGCCCTTGAGCAGTGCCCTCTAATGTCAGTCATCCTCCTTCCTCCTTTACACTCACCTAACAAACCCCAACCCTGGTCAGAAGTAAATCATCCTCCACTTTCTGCCTTTGACCAAGTGGCTGCCTTTTCCGGAGCAGAACACTCACTGTATCGACTGGCCTTGCTTTCAACTCGCAACCACACATCTCCAGACGTTCCTAGAGCCGGGTTCCCCTCTTCAGAATTGGCTTGCTTTCACTCTCCTCACCCCCCCCCCCCCAAGCTGTGACTTTGCCTCCCACTCAGGAGAAAGTGGAAGCCATTAGGCTGTCAGCCCACGTGCTCCCTGCCCACTCATTCCAGTCTAACAGCCCCAGACTTAACACCCGTTTCCCTGAGTCTTGCCTCCCCCCTTGGTCCTCAGTGCTGTCAGGGTGCCCTCACCCCTGCGCCCATCGCAGATGTGGGTTCCTCCACCTCCAACACACACTCCAAAAGCACCCACCTCTGCCCACCCCACGGCCCACTGGCTCTTGCTTGCACAACTGCAGTGCTTCCAGCTGTTCTCCATGTTCCCATCCATTTCCCAGAGCATCCAGAATGGCTTTTTAAATATTAAATCAGATCTTATCACTCCCCTTCTTAGCAGCTGCTCCTGCTGCTCTTGGATAACACCCTCCTTCTGTCTGGCCTGGCCCTGCCTGCTCCCTGCTCTTCATCTCCTATTCACTCTGGCCTGACAGCCCCTCCTCTTCCTGGTTCAGGTCTGTGCACCAGCTTCTTTCCCCAGATTGTCACAGGGTAGCCTCATCCTGTCATTCAGGTCTCAGAGATGCCAACACCCTACAGGAACGCTGCCCTCCTCCATCACTTACAATCCCAGGTGCTTTCTTACCTGCCTGCAGATTTTCCATCCCTCTCCCCACCCCTGAATAAACTCCATGAGAACAGAAACCCTGCCTTGCTTACCATGCTGTTCCCAGTGCCTCTAACTGAACCTGCCTGACACCTAATTCATAAAAGATGTGTGAACCGAGTGAATAAAGTGGTGAGTGAGCCCACATAGCCATGTGGTTGGGGACTGGGGGACAGGCCACAGACCCTGGGGTGAAGTGGCTAGCCACTTGCTCTGATTAACACCCCAGAGCCCCACACATACCACACCCTCATGCTGGAGCTCCAGGGGCCGAGCCAGGGCTGGACCCCACAGACAGGGTGGGGCTTGTGAGACAGGTCTGGGCCCAGAGCTGGCCTGGGCACTGGGCTCTGCGATGAGAGGTGGCCTCCGGGGAAGGAAGGACATGGCAAGGACAGCTTTATCCCTGATCACTCCCAAAGAGGAGGGGCACTCTTTGCCTTCCACCAACATTCTCTCCAGCCCTGCTTCACTCGCTGCAGTGTGCAGATTCTGAGACCAAAGCCACATATTAATGGAGGCCTGTGATGGGAAGCCTCAGAGCTGGGAGGACCTCAAGGGCACAAAGCATGTCACC